GGTCACCACAGAAACAATGGAGCAACACCAAATTTATGCAGTCTTGGGGTTTCTGATTTCACTTTGGTGTTCAAACCTAATTGATTTTATCACAAGAAGCTGCCCAGTATGAGCAGCAGGCGAGGCAGGGAGCGGTTCGCGCTGTTGGCTTTGTTTTTTGTTTTTCTACCCAAAATGTACTGCGCTCTACCAGCTGGCTCTTTGGTTCACTTCCTCTCTTTGGTTCGCTGGATAGTCCGTTTGCATTTCACACTGTAAGCGAACCCCACCAGGGTTCACTTGCAAATGAAGCGAGACTCCCAGTTTTCAAGCGGACCAGGGTTCGCTTATTTGGTCCGCACCAGAGTTCGAATGAGCGTTCATACCACTCCAAACGTACGGAACTATCAGTGGAAGCAAACCAGGGTTCGTTTAAAGTGGACTAAATAGCACCAGTGTGAATGTGTCCTTACATTTTTGGCTGCTGCCTTATAATTGTCCATGTTTCCAGATTGTTCTGGTAATCCATGGTGTTTTGTTTGTGTAAGGACTTAACTGTCCACACATCCTGACCTCAGCAAGATGGCTGCATGGTAGCTTTTCATGAACACGGGCAGCGCCAGTCTACAACCACCTCTAAACGGCATATAGCAGTGATCCAGCAGGAACAGGAGAACATCTTACACTCACACAGTCGTTCCAGTCCTTATTCACTGTAAAGCACACGCCTGCTCTCCTTATTTTGCCATGGTCCTGTGCTCTGTCAGATCGGCATATAAAGAAAGAGTCAGCTGGTAAAATGATGCTAAGATTATTTAGCCATGTTTCTGTGAATCAAAGGATATTACAGCTCCTGATAGCTATGAGAAACTGATGTGACACAGAGGCCATCCAGTTTATGTCCAACTAACCTGGTCTCACTCCAAAGTCATCGGAAGCTGGAGCTTGGTTAGTGATTTCCAGCATTATTGTTTAACAGTGCCCATCAGCGGAGGGGGGAAACGCTGCGGGGCAACAATTAAAGTTAAGGGGCCGAAAGTCAGGTGGGTTGGAGGGGTGTTGGATGGGTCCAACAACCACCAACTTTCACCCAGGAGGCCAGTGTTCACTTTCTGTGATTGTAGAGCCAAACCCTGTTTTTTTTTCCTTAACCCAACCATGTGCTTTTGTTACCTAAACCCAACCATGTGCATGTATAGGCAAAACATAACTATGTACATTTGTTGTTGAAGGAAAAACTGTCAATTTGCAGTGTTATACTGATGTATTGCATTTATTTTGAAAGAGGATGTATGCAAAGTGTACAATGTTTTTTGCAAACAGACAATGTATGTAACAGGCTGAAGTTCACATAGCATCCCAGAGCATCAACAACCAATGCACCCAGGGTACCCTGCACATCATACCTCAATGTGGAAAGTCCATGACCAAATGTCGATGTGCAACAAGGTCAAAGTGAGAATGTGTTGGTCCAAGGCCTGTACAATGGCTAGCAGGATGCGAGGAGGAATTTGAAAGCAAATTTGGTGTCTTCTACATTTGTCTAAGAGACATCAGAGTACAGGTCACATTCATACCTCCCTCATACTGTTTGTCTTGAATGCATTCCACAGTGTTATACAGCAGTTAGGTTAGAGAAAAGCAGCTTTCTTGTCAAGCGAAAGTAAGAGGTCAAAGGTGACGTGAGCATCATCTTCAGGATCACTGCTCTGTGATGACAGTCTGTCTATTGGCAATCCCTGGAGAACAACAGAATTCAAATAAACACAAGAAGTTTGTGCTCTAATAAAAAAAAAAAAAGGGATCAGCACTCAGTGAATAATCCTCCTAAGCCCTATGATAAGCTATTATGGCAAGGCTTAACTATACAGACCCGTGAGCAGTGATAACTAACATGTCTTTGGGGTCATCGGGTGGGAACCTCCTTTCACCGGTGTTTCGTCTAGTTAGTCCCACGACACCTCCAGGAGGCTAGACAGTGATCTCTGGCGTCCCAGAGACACTCCCCTAATGCCAGGTCTCACTGCTCCCCACACTAACCGAACAATCTCCTTTACCTTACCTATACTACCACAGAGGAGGTAGACCCAGGGAAGGAAGCCTTGTTAGGCTATCACACTCCCCCGCCGGGTTAGGCTGTACAGTCTACCTCCCCAGGACGAGCCCTCACAACAATGACACCTCCAGGAGGCTGGACAGTGATCTCAGCCCAAACAGCACTGCCAACTTCAACCAAGCCCAGGCTCCGTTTATGCGAGCTCCAGGCAGAAGCAATGCTGATACTACCTTTACTAGCACATTCACCATACTCTATTTCACACGCTACATAGCATAACTACAATGTAAGCTAAAGTTAAAGGAGATAAATGAACTCACAGGATCAGCAAACACACTCACTTTGCAGCATGGTCTCAAACAAAATGGATTCAAATAGGCCACTCCCACACTTAAATAACCTTCCTCTTCCTGGATTTCCTTCTTACTTACACATGGCTTTCTCAGCCCAAACAGCACTGCCATCTTCAACCAAACCCAGTCTCCATACATGCGAGCTCCAGGCAGAAGCAATGCTGATACTAGAAATACACATTTAATGCTGCTACACTTTCTGCTATCATGTCAGAACATCATCATATCAGTATAACATTACATCATCTTTGTTAGAAAGTACTGTAAATATTTCAATAACAAACCTGACAGAAAAAGCTGACCTATGGTCTGCAGAGCAACATTAATCTAAAGCACATTGTACATGTTCATATTGTCTATTCTTAAGATATATTTTTAATATGTGATCTCACAGAAAGTGAAATGACCACAACCCCTAAACACCCCATTGAGTGGTTGGAGCACTGTTGGGTTTATGCACCAAAACTGCTTGTTCAAGTTGAGAAAATGATTGTGGTTCCAGTCAAAATAACTATGTTTGTTACACACAGGATAGAAGTACTTAGAAAAACGGTGTAAGTAATGTAATGTTACGTAACCACATAAAGTTAAAAGACGTCAGTGCCGACTTCTAATTTCACACAGGACAAAAACAGCAGTGAAAGTCTTGTGTTTGTTCGACCCATCCACCACCTCCACCTGCTCTCAACATGGAATTTCTCACTCTGTCCACTACCTGTGGGGTCATAACAAAAACCAACAACATCATTTAACGAGTGGATTCATGCATCTACCATGACAAAGGATCCTAACTGACTTTATGTTGATACTGTTTCCACTGTGGCATGTAATTTTAACACAATATGTGCCACTAACAGCATCAAAGGGGAAGTTGGACTGATTACCCAGGGCTATAGTGGGAGAAGGGCCCTTGAAAAGCCTGGAATGAAAAGTTTGGTTTTGTTTGTAATTATTTCTTCCGAAATAATTAGTGTACTATAACAAAATTTAAATTGGCTGAATAAAGCGGTAGAAAGACTGAACTTTGTATTAAAAAAAATAGTGGAAGCTCTCTGAGGCCCCCCTCACCCTCAAGGCACAAAATGGTTCAATCTTCCCCTGCATTAGGATTTGTCTCTAAACTCTAAGCTAGAGCTGAGTAACTGCTTATGCTGCTGAGCACCACTGTACCCAAGACAGAGAAAGCAGAGTTACAAAGAAGAAGAAAAGAAAGCAAACTGACTTGGAAATGGATCAAGAGATGAAGAGCAGGGGGCCCACAGAGACTGCTTATTCACAGGGCCCAGAATTTGATGCTACACCCCTGTGTGCCACCACCGCTGATGCAGTGTTGAGGGGTTGTAATCATTTCATGTATTTCTGCTCATAAGTATAAAATATTGTGATCAATGTTTAGGCCCCCCAGGACCCCACAGCCTCCAAAACCACCAACCTGGTTTTTGGTAATTTGATAAATTTAAATGTGAGCTGCTTCACCATAGTACAATATAAACTAAAGCATGTCCTTCACATAGGTCCTTCATCATTATTGCATTAGAGGAGTCCTGTGTCAAAATCAGTCTTTAGATGCTTAAAACCTTATTGTACTCACATTATGTATTCCCTATTTGTTTTAGCACGGGGATAAAAGCTGAAAATTTTTGCCCACTATTTCACATAGATCTTTAAACAAGGACCAGGACAACAAAGTAGATCAAGCTAAAATGAAGAGTAATCCCCTAACAGCAAAATAGGTTCAGAACAATGGGCCACATGCAGCAACATCCTCTAAATTTCTTTCACATTTTCTCTTGATTTTTTTGTCAAAAGAAAAAAATAGCAGAAGTCAACTCCAGGTGCACACAACTTTTCTAAATCTGCGCTTACCCAGGTGTGCTGTATGATGAATCTCACTTGATCATAATTAACCTATCAACATATGTAACACCCCCTAAACACTATATAAGGGCAGGTGCTGTGCCATGCCCAAGAACTGGAGAGATGCCACCAGAAAAAGCTCTAAGAAGAAGAAGGAGACCACATTAGATTCAGTACTAATACCACACTGTAAAAAAAAATATTTTCCAGCCCTTGTTTATATTATCATATCATTTGGGTAAAAAAAAAACTTAACTTATATAGCAACAAAACTGTGGATAGAAACAAAAATAAGAGGAAATGTGTCCGTATATCTTGCATGAGGTACATTGTGAGGTGTGCTGTAAAGAGTTTACAATATGCAGCATGTGCATCTTCCCTTGGTTTTTGCAAAGTCACCATGAACAGCAAAAACAAGTCCAAAGATCAGAATGCCTGGAATGTGTCCTGTGGTTGTGTTATCTGTGGGAACAGCCCTGACCTGAAATAACACTAACCGTTCAGTGTTAGTCTTATTGGCAATGACGGAAGTAACAATTTAGCCTCAGGTATATTATACACTGGGACTCACAAATTTTAGCCATTTAAAAGTAAATGTAGACATTAATGCTTGAATGTTGTATAAAACACGCTATTATGTTTGAGGTAACTAAGTGGATTTAACTTTCAAAACATTTTATATGAATGGCTTTTGCATTACAAGATTGAGTTTTAGTATCTGCACCATGACCTTGAGAAGTAATTACAGACACAAAGTTGATAGAAAGCTTTATTCAAAACACCTCCTCCATCCATGACAGTGGTTCTGGGAAATGCAAAGAGTAAGTGCAATGGACATTTCATAGTCAAGCTCACAGATAGCTGCAGCAAGAGTAAAGTAAAACACAGATTCAGGTTTCATGTTAGAATGATGAGCTTGTGATTAAGAGGTCAAGGTCTTCCCGTCCAGAATTGTCTCTAAAGCAAGAGAACTGTGTTAAGCACCCTGTAAACCATGGACATGTTGACCAGCATGCCCACCATAAAGGACAGACCCCTGCAGGGCTGAGGGAAGGCGTAGACATAGGAGATGGTGTGGAAGATCCGAGAGCCAGCAAAGACGCGGAAGTGAAGCAGAGCAGTTGAGAGGTCGGGTCCAGTCAGAGCGTAGAGCAGGCCAACCAACACGAAGGGAACAACGTTCTCCAGGTCATTCAGATGACACCTGGATAACATTATGAACAACCAATGTATCTGCTATTACAAATAGTTGTCCATAAATAAGATAGTTTACAACATGCCATATTGTTCAGGGAAAGTATTTAATCTGACCATTTATAATCTGTCTGATAAGGATTTTTTTTTACAGTGATTGTACCCTGCAAACAATTATGATATCATCCTTCCTTTCATCCATTTTCTAAATCTGCTTATCCAGTGTTTGTTTAAGGAGTACTGGGGCCAAGCATATACTGGATAATATACCTTTTTTTATTATATCAAGTTATTATTTAGCCTCCCATGATAAATTAAATCGAGATTTCTCAGCATTTTCTAAAATGCCACTCTGTTTTTAGGTCCAAAAAATTACGTTTTCATGTATTTGCCTAATTCTCTGTTTCATGTATTCTGTTTTCTAGTGAAACACCAGCGTGTCAATTATACGTTGAGGTGAAAGTGATTGATCATCTCACCTTCGGACTCGCTCTACATTTGAATCGGTTCTCAGCAGCTTCTTCCTCTCCTCTGCAGACTTCATAGCTACATCTTCCTCATTTGCGAAAGCCTAAATGAGAGAGACAATAATATGCATTGACTCAAAGTCTTGTAAGGTAGGCACGAATAGATTCATAGCATTAAAACCAACAGGAGTTACTAAGTGTGCAGATCTTGTTGTTTCTACTTTGCCAGATGTTTCTTTTGGTCCAGCACCTACACCATTGGACACTGGGATGTGCATGTCATTTTTACTGTTTTTTTTATTTGACTCAAAGTCTACTCAGAAGTTTGGTTAAAAGGTTCCATATTGTAATGTAGAAATGCAAAGACATTAAGAAAATATGCAAAAAGTGTTAAGCAGAGGTGGGGGACTAGAGTCACACGACTTGAGTCTGACTGGAGTCGCAAATTTGAGAACTTGATACCTGCTTAACAAATACTGATAACAGACTTGACTTTGACTTGGTATTTATGATCTGAGACTTGACTTAGATTTGTGGCAGATGACTTAAAAGGACTTGATTTTTCTTTTTAAGAGTTGTTCTGATGCTGATACCAGTATTTGAAGTGCCTCAAATGCTGGATCGGGCATTGGCGAGTATGCATGTCAATGCAATATCTATGCACCTCCTAATTTATTTATGAACCTCAAAGTCGTTGAAAACCTGGGTAAATTAGTAGTTTTCCCAAAAATCAATTCTTCATTGCCATTTGCCAAACAGTAGCCTACACAGCAAGTTGCACTGTACAGTCACCGGCAACTACTGTTTTCGAGCAGCAAGGAAGACCTGTTTACTGGTGAATAGTGTTATGTTAGCCTTTAGCAACATGTCAGCAATTTGGCAATATATTTATGTTTGAAAGTCAAATCCATAAAAAGGCAACACGCACAGTATGTAAGGTTTTAATTTCAAGGGGTTGCACTAGTGGTGCCAACTAGGCTACTAGTATACTAGTAGTAGAGAAGAGATGAAGAATTTTGTTTTGAAACAAAATTTTGACCTGAGCCATGTTGGTTTTATATTATTTATTATACAACAGTTAGTTCCGGCCCTGCAATGTGATTGGTCGAGAGACAGTAAAACCGTGATGATATTGGAGTACAACATCACGGTTATTTCACTTTGTATGTATCACTCCGCCTCACAGCTGATTGCAATCAACAATCAAATCAAAACTGACGGTTAGTGTCAGTTAGGTCAGCGGTCGCATTGTAGGCTAATTAATTATCCACTGTCAAACAACCAAAAATATGGATTTATTTCCTAAAATAAGTTTTGAATTGAACTATGAATGGTCATCAGAGGAAGATGAGGGAGAGGAGAAGCTGAATCCATCTGAGCACACATCCAGGTTTGTCAGTGTTTCATCAGCAGAGCTCAATGACTTGTAGAAAAGCAACATACTGTCAGATCAGAAGGCAGAGTCAGCTGTGCCTGTGAAGCGACAGTCCACCATGCAGTCACCAGAGACTTATTTCACCGGCTGCACAATTAATGGAAACGTGCAGATAAATGTGTATAAAGAGTAAGTGCCTGGAGCACCATGTCTGCGTTACATAGCAACGGTGACAGCGGAGTCCTGAGAGAACTATTTTTGATGGCGGAAGACAAATAAAATGCTTAAATTATCTATTTTGTCCTCATTTTTCAACATTTCTTAATCAGCCTTGCTTATTTAACTGTTGAACTGTTGTATAAAAGCAATATCACACTCTAGCTTGTGATGTTGTACTGTGATAGGCCTGCGGCCTCGTGCCTACGACCGAATCACAGCCGTGACGATATCACAATACAACATCACTCCCTCTCGTGTGATATTGCTTAAATATTTTTTTTTTTTTTTAATATATTTTTGTGTGCAAGTTCAGGTATTGAAATCAGTATCAGGAGCTTCTTTCTAGTGCAATGTGCACAAACCTGGTAGCCCACTAGGACACAGCAGACCAGCAGAGGCCAACGCCCAGGGCAGCTATCATGGAGGGAGCGAGTCCAAAAACAATAAAATTTGGATTCAAAGATTATGTTGTCGATGACGATCGTAAGAAGAGAAGATCGGTATGGTCTCTAGTTAAAAAATTTCACCCATCACTACAAAGCCCACAAAGGATGGCACATGACTATGTCTGTTTAGTTAATTTCATAGCTTATTGGCTGGTCAAGCGCTAGCTAAAAACCTTACGTTAGCTAGTAAGCTAACATTTAACCAGATCATCAGAATTATGTATGACTTGACTTGTCTTCCTTGACTTACAGCAGGGACTTGAATCTCAGCTTGTTCCTCTCAAAACTTAAAGGGCATGATTTGAGACCTGCTTGTGGCTTTACTTCCCTGATTCTCACCACAATAGCTTGGGACTTGTTTGCCACGTGACAGTTACGAATTGAGAGTTGGATATTTTATTTCTTATTTATTTTATATATTTTATTAATCCCCCTGAGGGGACATGACTTGCATAGTATGTGTGACTTGAGTCTAATTAAGTGCTTCCTTTTTAAGTTGTTGCCTTTCTAACATGTTTTTTTTCCAGGCTATTCTCTTTTACAACCTGAGTTATCAGTTAGGCTGTGTTAATGACCTTTCATAACGTAGTACTGTAGACTGTGGACATTTTGGCTTTGAGGAGCAGTTACGCAGTGGAGTCCTTCATTTCTTGCATCTAAAAAACCAGGATGAAAACCAGCACAACTCTTATAGGCTTTAAAGTAAGGAGGCAAGGCAGAGCTAAACACAACCTTAAATACAATGTACATAAAGTCATGAAAACTAATATAAAACAGATTCATCTTAATAACAGATGTAGAAATCTTTACTATTGGTACCTACCCCTTTGGTTATGCGGTGGTATGCAGTCATAGGCGCCATCAGCATCATCTTCAGAATGACAATAGTTGCATAGGTGGTGAAAGCCATAAATACCTCATCTTCCATGAGCTTTGCCATCTCTGCTGGTCTGCAACTGAATGACAACAAGGAAGCGACAGAATGTAGTTTAACATTCCGTTTCAGCAGCAAAGATAAGAAATAATACAAATAACACATATCAGAACTTAAAATGTATTTCCACTGCCAAAAAAAGTCGTAAGAAACATTACATAAGTCTAGTATTATTCTAGAAATGTGACCAGAGTGTTTTTGTGTCTTATATCTAGCATGGAGAATGCAATATTGTCTGTAAGATTCTAAATGAATGTGTATACAGATCAAGTGACAAACCAGACACACCCCTGCTACTTTGTTAAACACTGAACAAACAAGTAGCAGTGTGTTAACGTGCATGTGGGTTTCAAAGCAGGTCCTGTCTGCATGCAACACTCTCAGTAAGCCCACAGTAGGAACTAATTATTGGAATATTGTTAAAAATATGCAGCACGGTTCAGCAGCTCAACTTACCTCCTGTGGTGACTCTGCAGAAGTGAAGCAAGTCTCGATCTGTTGCAGAAAAACAAACTGACCCATCACCCAGAAACTCAGGAGGCGGGACCACTACAACTGCAGCACAACACACAACTTCCTGTCAGTGTTTTTCTCCACTTATGAGGACCACATCCATTGATACCCTTAACAACACTCCCAATGCACAGCATACTGTCTATGGTAATAACTTTCATTTAGATTAAAGAGTAAAAGTACATCAGGCTTTAGAAGTGTGTAAACAGTGAGTTTTTATTGATCTTGTTTACTGTATTTTCAGCAAACTTTGGGATTAAAAAAATCTAAATTGACATGAGAATGTGCCTGACCAATGCATACACACATAAACTTGAGAAATGAGAAACTGTAACTTATGGCAGAAGGATGAAACTTGAGAAACTGTTTGCAATTGATGTGATTGTTTAAAATAAATCATAATATTGCCTCTAAGGTATTTGAACAGTTTTCACGGTTTAATCAGGAATCCAGCACATTCTCACTCTGACCTTATCACATGTCGCTGCTTGGTCATGGACTTTCCACATCGACATATGACGTGCAAGGTAGCCTGGGTGTGTTGGCTGTTGATGTTCTGGGATACTGTGTCAACTTCAGCCTGTTACATGCATTGTGTCTTTCCAAAATACACTTCCGTTTTTACAGGAAATGTACAGTTTGCACGCAGTTCATCGGTACAACACCGCCAATTGGCATTTTTCCCTGCGACAACAGATGCACATGGTTACATTTGGCCAACATGTGGCCTGGTAGGGTGTCCCATGGGAAAGTGGTGCCAGGGGAGGGGCCAGACTAAGAGCAATTCAAGAAGACCCTGACATTACAGTGCAATTAGACTTCGAGGACCTCACCTGGTATGGATCCCTCTGGAACCAGACCTCGGGGGTGAAGCTTGCTGATGAGCATCTGGTGGCTGAGCCTTGGGCCATTAGGCCCAATCAGGCTCAGCTTGAAAAACATACAAAGAAAAGCTTTTCAGATACAATCAAATGATTTGGCAAACCAACAAGACCAACAAGGTTTTCTGGCCTATGATGATGAATGACTTTTGTGCTTAGGTATAACTGGTTTGACGCATCTCTACACAAGGTTTCCTTTTCCAGTGGGTGAACAGGCCTATAAGAGAAAGCAATTTACAGCAACGATTAACCAAATGTAATAGGTGCTACTGACAGTATGACTGTACTTATGTTGCATTAAGGGCACCAAGTGTGAATGCATTTGCTTTTGTCAATCAAAAGCATTTTAAGTTAATTAATGTCCAAATTATGGGTTAATTAGGGTTAATTTGTCTGGACCTAACTTGGGACTTGTTTGTCTAAACTTGTGACCTGACTTGGGGATTGTTTGTCTGGACATGGGACCTGTCTTGGGACTTGTTTGTCTAGACTTAGGCCTTTAAATGGGGCTTATTTGCCTGGACTTTTGACCTGACTTGGGACTTATTTGTTTGGACTTGAGACCTGAACTGGGATTTGTTTGTCTGGACTTGGAAGTTGACTTGGGACACATTTTTCTGAACATGTGACTTGACTTGGGACTTTTTTTGGCTGGATTTTGGACCTGACTTCGGACTTTTTTGTCTGGCCTTAGTACCTGACTTGGGACTTAATGGTCTTGACATGCTCTTAAATTCTGAAAAACAAAATGAACAAAGGAAGCAAAAGCAGCACATAATATGTTCTTTGGGGTCCCCTTGATTGTCGTGTAGCCTTAACCTAGCTAAATAGTTTCCTTATGCCTTAAGCCATTTACAGGCACTTGGATATGTCAGCACTGGATCTTTGCTTTTCCCAAGGACTTGGAATGCTGTGAATTATTCAAAGAGAGTAGGGATAAGGGATGTGTACAAACCAGCGCATATGAAGAGTGTGTAAAGTTTGATGCATTTTTAATTTCACATGGCCAGTAGAGGTTAAGATGCACAATGTTTATTGAAGACGCTGGGACTGGGCGCATTTAGTTATTCCTCAGCCTGCTGAAAAGGGCAATGATGACAAAAATACAAAGTTTCTTTTTGTGTGTGTGTGTGTGTGTGTGTGTAAATAAATGTTTAAGTGACCTTAAATGGCCTGACTTGGGGCTTGTTTGTCTGGACATGGGACCTGAACTTGGGCTTATTTGTCTGGACTTTGGACCTGACTTGGAACTTGTTTGTCTGAACTTGTGACCTGAATTGGGGCTTGTTTGTCTAGACATGGGACCAGAACTGGGGCTTGTTTGTCTGTACTTGGGATCCAAACAAGGGCTTATTTGTCTGGACTTTTGAACTGACTTGGAACTTGTTGGTCTAGACCTGGGACCTGACTTTGGACTTGTTTTTCTGAACCTGGGACCTGACAGGGCTTGTTTGTTTGGACTTTGGACCTGACGTGGGGGTTGTTGGTCTTAAAATGGTAAGAAATTTAAATGGGAAAAACTTTGTAAAGGAAGCAAAGCAACATATAATGGGTTCTTTGGGGCCCTCCCTGACTGTCATGTAGCCTCAAACCAACTATTTAGTTTCCTCATGCCTGAAGCCATTCTCGGTTATGTCAGCAATATTTTTTCATTATGACTTAAATACACGGTTAAAATAACACTACACCTGACACATCTTTTTGCACTTCCAATGCCAAAAGAGATAATTAGTTCAGTATTTGAGGATTGCTATTAATGGATTTATTTAAAATCATTTTGGATCATTGCTTTTCCTAAGGACTTCGAATGATGTGAATTATTCAACAGAGACTAGGGATCAAGAGTGTGTACAACTAGTGCATATGATGAGTGTGTTAAGTTCAATGCATTTTTAATTTCATTAATTTAAAATGTCTATTTCAGACTAAATTGAAGTAGGTTATATAACTGCGAATGAAGGAGCAGGTAATGCGAACCATGCTGCACTATGCCTCTGACCTGTGCCACCTCAGACTTTACATTACAAGGTTATATTTTATTACTCTGCATACAACAGTATATGGCTATACCTAAAGCTACAGTAGACTGGCCATGTATTCTGTTAAATATAACACAGATGTTAATAGATTTAAATGAAATAACCATCCCCAGTAGACAGCGTCAGACCATCATTCAACTCCAGTCAGATCTGTTGTTAACACAGGTCAGATATCCTGAAATGACCAATTTAGACTGATTGCAGCTGTGGGTGTATACCTTCCTCTGAGAGGGGATTTTGCCATAGCACCCAAAGCAGTTCACAGCTTATTTGGGGGCACATTTTGCGAGAATCACCGAGTATCCTTTTACAGGTAATCTGTGTGAGATATGCATCAATTTACTCCAACGTAAAACATGACAGAGGGTCAAATTTGTGATTCATATAAATACAATCATAATCAATATGATCATTACCCAATTCATTTTTTTAAAAAATTATACTAACTTTTTTTTTTTTTTTCTGATCAAAATGCCAGGTAAGTGTCATCCCTCTCCCTAAAAGTGGGTGTTTTTTCAGGGACCCATGGCTCTGTTTACAGTGGCTTTTTAGCCCCCAAACATTTTTTTAATGGGACTTATTGCTTTTATTTGATAGGACAGCTTAAAGGGATAGTGCACCCAAAAATGAAAATTCAGCCATTATCTACTCACCCATATGCCTACGGAGGCCCTGGTGAAGTTTTAGAGTCCTCACATCTGTTGTGGAGATCGGCGGGGGCAGCGGCTAGCACACCTAATGGCAGACTGCACCCCAGACTAACGTCCAAGAACACAAAATTGAGCTCTGACTGCTTCTTTGTGCTCCGCACTCACGCATGTGTGCTTGCGTGCTTGCGTGCAACCAGCGAAAAAATCACGTGACACGTGCACCGCACAGGGAGACAGCAGTGACCACAGTAGCTAAAAGATAATTTGCACTATGGTCTTTTAGCAAAGGACAGCCCAACATATCTGAAGACTTTGAAATTGAGGAGGAACAGCATTTCTTTGTTAAGCCGTATTTGTTTGAGCCCGAGTATACGGACGGAACTCACAGGCTACTGGACGAAGCAGCTGCTGCAGCTCATGAGCCTAACCCTCAGCCAGCCACAGAATACCGGAGTCGAGCACTCGAAACCTGGTGGTGTAGTTGTTTCAGATGCAAAGCAATGCCAACGGATGAGGAAAGTCTTTGCTGCTCAGACTGGGAATTGGCAATGCATGCACTTGAGAATCTGGACATCAGTACTGACAAGACTGATGCTCTTCAGAGACTGTGCATCACCCATCACCCTGAGCGCTCACACGTGAGTACGGAGCACAGAGAAGCAGTCAGAGCTACAGGCTACAGTGAGGCTAAAAACAGAGTTCATATGACGTTTTTCAAAACAACTTTTTATGTCGGGGCTGCAGCACACTTGGATCACTATGGATGAGCAGTATGGAGATACTTTGTGGATTCAATTTTGTGTTCTTGGACGTTAGTCTGGGGCGTCGTCTGCCATTAGGTGTGCTAGCCGCTCCCCCTGCCGATCTCCGCAAGGGATGTGAGGACTCTAAAACTTCACCAGGGCCTCCGTCGGCATATGGGTGAGTAGATAATGGCTGAATTTTCATTTTTGGGTGCACTATCCCTTTAAGCTGTCCTATCAAATAAAAGCAATAAGTCCCATTTAAAAAAAGCTCAAAAAAATATAAAAACTCCCATGTTTGGGGGCTAAAAAGCCACTGTAAACAGAGCCATGGGTCCCTGAAAAAACACCCACTTTTAGGGGCTGAGAAGCAGCTGGAATACATCCTCAATGAAATATAACACAAAATCCTTTTAAATACACTTTATAAGAGATCATTCCCATTTTGAGTGAAAAAATAGGGAGGGATATAACAAAATAAATTTATAATCATGAAAACAACAGTGCCCCCTAATTTTCCCCCCAGTGAATTCCACTGCTATTTTGAATGCAGCCAGTCTCTCTCCTCCCTATTCTTCATCCTTCCATCAAAGCTCAGTGAACTCCTGTCTCCAGACTGAGGCTCGACTTCAGCTGCGTGAAGTCACGATGACTTTTGTCTCAAACATTGCTGTCATTTCTCTTTAATCAAACGTGTGTCACATTGTTTTGAGAGCCAGATGCTTGAAA